ATGCGAAACAGCCCATGCCAGCTCTTCCTCGCAAATGCGAGATTCCCTCCGCAAATGCGATACGCCCCTTTTGGGCCTGTTTTCGCAAATGCGATCCTTTGTTCGCATTTTCCAACTCGCAAATGCGAGAACTCCTTCGCAAATGCGAACATAGCAGAGGTCGGGGTTTGCAATTGCGAACCCTATCGCAATTCCCATACCTGCAACCTGCAATTTTATAACTTAGCCGAAAATCAACCATTTTTCACATCTTTTCAAACATAAACTCCCTAGGGCGATTTTTCAAGAACAACTCTTCTTCCAAATCGATTGTAAGTTAATTTTAACTCGTTTCCTTCAATCATTAACATCTTTTAACATGGTTTCAACTCAAAATCAATAATTTTTATGGGGAAAATTAAGTGTTTTGGTAGAACCTAGGTTTTTCAAAAATTGGGGATTTGGACCTCGACTTGAGGTCCGATTTCAAAACAAATTATATATTTGAGTTCGTGGGAGAATGGGTAATCGGGGTTTGGTTCGAACCTCGGGTTTTGACCATGTTGGCCCGGGGGCGATTTTTGACTTTTTGGGTAAAACTTTGGAAAATTCATTTTCATGCATTGGAATTGATTCATTTAGCGTTTATCGATGTAATTAAGTAACTTGTGACTAGATACGAGCGAATTGGTGGTGAAATCAAGGGGTAAAGCGATAGTTGAGACGTGAATTGTGTTCGTGGCATCGAGGTTAGTGTTTGGTCTAAACTTAGCTTGAGGGATTAAGAGTCGAGTCTTAATTGTTATGTGTTAATTGTGGAGTACGACGTATAGGCATGGTGACGAGTATCTATACGTCGGTGACAAGCATGCCCGTGAGTCTTGTATTGTAATTATTATGCCTCCGTTGTGGTTTATTGCGTTTCATATGAGGATTTTATTATTTTTTCCTTGCCGGGATGTTATTATCATTATGTTCCCTTGCCGGGATGTTATTATTATAGTAGTTCCCTTGCCGGGATGTTATTATCATTGTAGTTCCCTTGCCGGGATGTTATTATCATCATTGTTCCCTTGCCGGGATGTTTGTTTTAATACTATTGTTCCCTTGCCGGGATTCTTTTGGTTGGTGTTGATAAAAGAAATGGGAACGGGTTGCACGCCTGCAACGTTAATATGTGAAATGGGAGCGGGTTGCACGCCTGCAACGGTAATATGTGAAATGGGAGCGCGTTGCACGCCTGCAACGGTGATATATGAAATGGGAGCGGGTTTCACGCCTGCAACGATAATGTAAGAAATGGGAGCGGGTTGCACGCCTGCAACGGTGTTACTTGTGTGTCTGTTCTTCTATTTCCTTATTTTGCTGGTAATTGATTTAGAGCATTTCTTATGTTTCTCTACAGTCGTTCTGTTGTTATCTGTTACTCCCCGTAGCATGTTTTCCCCCGCCCAACTTTAGTTATAATTATCTGTTTCTATTTCCACAGTATATGATTTAACTGCACAGGTTATTTGGTAGTCTGGTCCTAGCCTCGTCACTACTTTGCCGGGGTTAGGCTAGGCACTTACCAGCACATGGGGTCGTTTGTGCTGATACTACACTCTGCATTATGTGCAGATCCCGGAGCAGCTTTTGGACCGTAGATTGAGTGGCTACCTTCAGTCCACGTGGAGATCCAAGGTAGACCTGCAGGCGTCCGCAGGCCCTGGCATCTCCCTGTATCCCTTTATTCATGTTTCATTTCCTTAATTCAGAAACAGTGTGTCGTTTATTTTTCAGACTTTGTATATAGTATTCTTAGATCGTTTGTGAAACTGTGACACCAGTTCTGGGTAGTTAGGCTCAAACAGTTGTTTTGGATACATGTTCAGATATTTTGCTTCTCTTCCGCTTATTTTCAATATTCCGTTGTTTTTACGTTATTGTTTTTAATTGTTAAAGAGTATAAAATGTGTAAAATGGTAATTTGTTAAATATTCGGCTTGCCTAGCTCACATTAGTAGGCGTCATCACGACTCCCGAGGGTGGAAAATCCGAATCGTGACAGAAAGTTTGCGCTGTTTACTAATTAAAAAGTTTTCAATATATCTTACCAAATAAAAAAGAACTAACTATTTGTCGTAGAATTAATAGCTGCTGTTTTATTTTGCTTGAGATGTAAGTTAATAAAATTGTATATTGGTTTTTATAGGTCTATGTCCTCCCTATTTGATCTTTTCTCTGTGTCATTGGAATACTTTGTTTTTAGAAGCTGTTTCGTGTTCTTTTCAATAAATAACCTATTTTTGCGTCTATGAAATCGTACTATATCTCTTCTTTTAAACTCTTGTTGTTTCTTTTGATATCGAGTGGAATATCCTATATATATATATATATATATATATATATATATATATATATAGTTGTATGAAATTTATTTTTACTGTGTATAAATCAAACACAAAATATACAACTTATGGGAACAATAAAATTACAATTAGTTTTGGTTCTGTAATCACCTTTCTATCTACTCCGGCCATCAATTTTGCCCAAGCCATAGAGATGTGGGGTTGTCCCGGCACATCGCGTTTTGAAAAATTATGCAACTAAACATCAATCAAAAGAAATGTTTGTTTGAAGTGTTTTCTGTAACTCAAAAATAAAAGATGAAGCATACTTGTTGTGATAATTTCCAAATAATTGGAGGGTGCTAATTTTTCATCCAAAAATGCAGTTAATTTTGAAGGACAACATGATATACAGAACTTCAAACAACGGGCTGATGGTTTTGTTTTCTTAATACTGCCTAATATCTACTAAGCTGGATTCATGATGTGACTAGTTTAATTACCAGACGGCGTAAAAACTCAATTTTGGTGTTTATAGTGTAAAACACAAGCGAATTAAAGGTCCTCTATAACAATAAATCTGTTCAATTCTGCTGTCTCATGGCCTTATATATTTCGGCAAGAGGAAGACCAAACAAAGTCGTGGTCAAAGCAAAGAAAAAGATGCCAAAAAAAATTCACAAGGAAGTTGGACTATTTATTAGACCAACTATCTCACGCTCTCTCTCTCAAACCCAGCCAAAGGAGCACATCTAGTTGAAAGACTCTCATTCTTATTTAGAATGGAGCCGTTCAGATGAGACCCGAAGACTAGGAAGAATAAATATCGTACAACTTAATTACAAATTTTATACAATATGTCTTTTGTATATTTTGTATCTGATTTATACATGGTAAAAACAAATTTCATACAACTAATTATATATTATACAATTTATCTACAATTTTCTTATATTATTTCTACTCAGTTATATACAACTACAATACAACTTAAATATAATTTTTACATAATATTGTTCAACTTTCATACAATAGTTAAATAATATATATATATATATATATATATATATATATATATATATATAATTTTTCTACAATTTTACTACAATTTCGTAAATATAATATATATCATGTCTTGTTCTTCTTCTTCTTCGAGTTTCAATCTGAAATTCAGCCAAAATCAAATCTAATCTTCACCAAAACACCCTCAAAATTGAGATATAAACTCCAAACCATATTCCCAATTGTTTGCAACAACATCCAATCTAAACAAATAATGGTTTTTGAAAATCCAAATTCGAATTCAAAGCTTCAAAGCTTTTTAATGACTGTCAATGGTGGAATTGCTGCTCTCTTTTCCTTGCTTTACATTACTGAAATTAGGGATTGGGATGTGGAGAGAGAAACGTGGTATAATATTTTTTTCAATTGCTCATTGCTCATTGGTCTTAACTTAAAATACTTTTTTCAATTATACATTGATAGGTCAATATTAACACTTGTAGACTGCAAAAGACTACTCAAGCTTGATTTAGTCCCCAAAACAGAAGGCCAAAACACACAATTGAAAGCGTAACACCACAAGACTCTTAAGATTGATTGCATGTATTTATGGGTCAAAATGGATACCAGTAATTGACAACAAATACTGAAGTTAAAACTCAATAGCAAAAACGAATAGACCAAGACACTATATGGAGATGAAATACACCAAAATCAAACAGTACAAAAGCCTGCCAGAACATCTAACAGTTGTTCGTTCAAACAGTTCGTGATAATAATCAGCAAAAGACTAAAATAGCATCCCACAGCTTGTTGCATTATATGAAACCAATTCTGTTGAATGAAAATTGAACAGATACGTGGGGAGGGGGTTGGGATGTGGAGAGAGAAACGTTACGTTAGAGTGATTTTAGGACACTAATTATTATCATTAATTCCCTTAAAATGTACATAAATGGTAATTGAGTATATAAAATATAATTATAGTAAAACTTGAGTAGGAAGGGTAATATAGTTTAATAGTGTATAGGAATGTAAAAATTTCTTTTCAGAACAAATTAATAATTTTTATTATTCCATATAGCATAGTTCGGTTTTTTCGGTCAACCGAACAACCGAGGCACCAAAACCGTAAATCGTACCGAACACCGAAATTTAATAATTTGTAAACCGCACACCGACCGAATAACCGATTAAACCGAAACTGAACAACCGAAATTTACGATTCGGCCGGTATTATGCCCACCCTAGTCTCTAGTGAGGCCAACGGAGAAGCAGAAATACATCAATCAAGAAGTCTTCTCACAGATGGTGATCAACAAGTTTTTCATACATCAGGAAGTCTCTGACCAAGCTCAAAAAATAAGTGATAGTTGAATCTCAAATCCTTGTTCGTAACGATCATATGATTGCTTATAACAAATCATATAAGTTCAACATCAAGCTCAAAAATCCTTGAATCAAGTTTCAAAAAGAGGAGAATTAGAGAAGATTCTCTTTAGATTTTAGATATTCTAAACGTTGTAACCCTGAATCCTCATCATTTATTGAATCAAATATTACAGAAAGTTGCTATTTCTCCTGTTTTAATTTCTACGCACGAAATTTGATGCCCACATGCAGAAAATATAATTAAAAAGAAAAATGAAAAAAAAAAAAAAAAGAAAGAAGGAAAGCAGTTGGTAAGAACTAAGTTCCTAGCTACTTCCTATAGCGAGTGAACACAAGAGGACTTGATAGTCAACTAATTGCAATGTGCATTGACTCAAACAAAATTCAACCAATCATAAGAACGACTTTCTGATCTGTTTCTTACTCTAAGGTAAAGAGCTCTTTTTTGAGATCTTAAGTCCTATTTGGATTCATCTTGCATTTTTGGTTATATACTCTTATGCGCCTTCCTTCATCAAACCTTTTGGTATGTATTGCCCCCTAACTATAGATCAGATCCTCCGGACAAGAAACTCAATTCCACACTGCTGCTGAGTCGTCGGACTTATCCACCAAGGGATTCGTGGAATCTCTGTGGATTGCGTTGGTGGAAATCTACCAAAGCTAGGCAGATAGATAGACTCCTTTCCCGCTGCTAAGAAAGAAAACCAAATGATTGTTTTTTAACCAGCTTCATTTATCGACTTATGTCATTGACTAGTTTTTCTCATCTACAGATTTGCAATATCTAAAGGAAATCCTCTTTCTTTCTCTCTTCCGGATCAGCGGATTCAGAGGGATCAGGTGAAGTCCCCCCTTCTCGTTGGCACGGATAAATCGGTTACATCTTGTTCCTACTACTGCCGAGTAGAGGACTTCGTCTCAGCTTGATGAATCGCATCCCTGCACACCAGTCTAGGGAAAGCTTCTATCTAAAGTGATAGTGATCCATCGCCTTGACCTGAGTCTCCACCATATCTATTCCCTACCTCTCTCTCTTTTTTGGCTATATTTGACCTTGCTAGCTAGTTTTGCATTTCCGTTGACGGTACTGATATATTGTCTCTTCTCGTATTTTCGATCTTCTTGAGCCGAGGGTCTATTGGAAACAGCATCTTTGCCCCATAGGGGTAGTTGTTGTTGTTGCTAACTAGTTTTGCAAAAATGGGAGAGGAGAATTGTTGGGAGAGAGAGGTAGTGATAACTGAGCTAACTAAGGGGAGGGAATTGATGTGTCAGTTGCAAAAGCAATTTGATCCCATGAAACAGGAGGTATGCCAGTATTTATCTGTGGAAATACTTTCTTCCTATGATAAAGCTCTGTCCCTCTTAAATGGCACAGCTTTATCAGGGATGAACAAAGGTAAACAGATTAGTAATCCAGCACCATCTTCATCAACTGGCAAGCTGGAATCTCTGCATCTTCTGGCTGATGCTAGCACAAAGAGTTCTGACCGTCCCTGCAACTCCAGGAAGAGGTACTCTCATTTCAATTTATGTATCAGTATTTGACCGGGTAGAAGGGGAACCTTAACGTAACTGGTAAAGTTGCTACCATGTGATCGAGAGGTCACGGGTTCGAGCCGTGGAAACAGCCTCTTGCAGAAATGCAGGGTAAGGCTGCGTAGGATAGACCCTTGTGGTCTGGCCCTTCCCCGGACCTCCGCGCATAACGGGAACTTAGTGCACCCGGCTGCCCCTTTTATTTGACCGGGTAAGGAGAGGTATTCTAGTTTCAATTATGTGGGCAGTATTTGACTGGGACGAAGTTCAAGATAGAGACAAAGACTTATGCTACATAATGGGCTTAAACATGTCATGACTTTTCTAGGTATATAAAAACATATCAATGCTACATGATAGCTAAATATCATATATTTATCCCGGAGACAAAAATATCAAACCATATGTATATGATTGTTGATAACTTCACTTAGACTAATTGTAGTTTACTCAGATGAGACGACAGATCAGTTTTAGAAAGTGAAACTGGTGCATTCTTACATTTGGTGGAGGTCCTTGTTAGGAACTTTTAACTTGTTACACACAATTAATCATTGTAGGAAGATGGTGTCGCGAAGGACAGAGTACGTACATGCTCGATCTGGAGAAGAGGTTCCACCTGAGGATGGATACAGTTGGAGGAAATATGGACACAAATATATTTTAGGGGCAAAACACCCCAGGTGAGAATCTGGTTCTGTTTGTTTCTTGTCCAGCAGCAACCAAAACCTGGATGTTCTATTTCTTGTCTATACGAAGTTCCCTTCGCTTTGTGAAGGGAAAAATGCCCAAATTTGGCTCTTATAGTATCCGAAATTGCTAATTGTGTCCTCCCTTAGAATTTTAGTCCATTCATACCCCTTTGCATTAGAAAATCGTCTCGTATTGTCCTTGTCATTAACAGAGCTCCAGGTAAATACGTGTCCAGATTTAACTTTTGGAGCTCCGTTAGGGGTCAAGGAGAAAAACGAAACCTTTTTTCCTAATTATGGGGTAAGTTTAGATCAAAGTTTAACGGAGAACAAAGTTGCTCAAAGATGGATAATACTACACTATATTCAATGTTTTACCTAGAAATACAAGTTCCCACGACAATTTCTTATGGCACTGCAGAGAATATTATCGATGTGCTCGTCGTCGTTTATCTAGTTGTACTGCTACTAAGATGGTCCAGCGAAGTGAGACAGAGGCATCAGTTTTTGAAGTTATCTATGGAGGAAGTCACAGTTGTGGTCAAGAAAGCAAACTGCAGCAAAATGGAGAATTAGTTGCTGCACTAACAAAAGAAACACAATGTGATGAAGTTGGAAGAGGAGGAGAAATATCTGAATCCTATTTCACTGAGATGGTTTCAACCCCAAATACTTCATTCAATAATTCCTCAACAGGGATAGTAAACTCCAATTCAATCCTCAACATGACCAATTCTGATATCATGACAACACCAACTTCAGCACATGCAGAGGGGAATTCCTCAGCTGAGGATCTTTGGACTACATTTTTTTCTACCTTGAAATGAGATTGATAGTCAAGTAACTATCTAGTCCAGATAAAAGCTTCTTTTTGGAGGACTTGCAGGTTCTTTTTTATGACGGTGGTATCCGAACCATCTTGCTCGCACCTCGACTAATTCCACAGGGTACCTGCTACCTCTCAACAGCATAGGTATCGGATAACTTTATCCACCAAAACTTGGGCAGATGAGAAGAGATCACCTAATATTTTTTTCCTCTGTTGAACTTGCAGGGCTTTATTCTATCAATATATTGATAATTATTGATGAATTTACTATGTCAATAATGGCTCGTTTGGTATGAGGGATAGGGGACAGTTAATACCGGGATTAAATTTGAGATGAGTTTATTCCATGTTTGGTTGGGATAAAATCATGGTATACGGATTAGTGATCCCGTAGCAGTACAGTAACATACATGTCAATAATGTAATGCAAGTTTTTGACATCAAATACATCAATTTATATTTATAGGGCTTGAGATTTTGTTAACCTCATGTTTGAACTGCATTTGCTGATGGTTAGTGTTAAAAAACTCGGACAGAGCAAAATATACATGAACTTGCTGGACTTGCTGATTGTCAGAATACAAGAAGAAATGCTCAGCACTGTCCTCCTCCCACTGAATTACAGGCTTGTGTTGCTCCAACAAAGAGAGATATTCGTGTGATATGATAGGCCCCCCACCTAAACCTGCGCACGTAATGATCCTTCGCAAATGATGAACAGATACAAACAACTAAAGAATCATTATGCTCTTTAAAGATTATTATTAGTGCCACTTTATGGAAACCCATATAGTATGAAATAATCACCCAATCGTCTGGTTAAATTATTTTGAAAATTCAAATATTAGAGACCCTCCCCAGACCTCACTTGTGAGATTACACTGGGTATGTTGTTGTTGTTGTCAAATATTAGAGACGTTTAATCACTAATACTTGAATCGACTTTAGAGGTTGTTTCATTGCACTTGAATCTTTAAAATTTATCCTTAAATATTCTGCTGATGTTACTCTCATAGGCCAAGATAACTTGAAACTACATCCTTGCATTCACCCATAGCCAACTGAATATTTTAGTTGCATTTCCATCCAGCAAAATGTATATCCCAAGATTTCAACGGAGATGAGTGATCAACTGGAATCATTTAAAATAAAATTTAGCAGCCTTTTACATGACATGAATATTAACTTGGTCTCTACATCTATAATTTCAGAACGTTCCTATGTTCTTCGTCAAAACTTTACAGATTAGGGAAAGTTAGAATTCCATTTAGCTATTTGTTGGCAAGTTTCAGTAAACCTTGCACTTTTAGCATTTTCTATAAGGCAATCCTAGATATCATTAGAGGTTCTTTTTCTTCTTTTTCCTTGGGGGGGAGGGGGTATTGTTGCTACATATAACACAGCAAGATAAATATATACATACCTTTTGACAGGACAAAATCATTGCCATAGAAGTTGATCCCGACAAAGATCTTTTCAGCCAATCTCCTACCTTTGCTACCAGCTCCAGCAAGAAGATGTAATGTCGAGCGTATCCACTTCAGAGGTGAATTGGGACCTGGATTATAAGGACTTGAATAGTCATACGTCATAAGAGAGAAACCATCTACAGCATCACTCAGGGCTTGTAAATCCTTTGGTCCAAAATCAGCTTATCTGTACGTGGTGGACCTATTACATACACTAACTGTAGATTTGTCTTGCCATTCCTTTCTAAGTGCACAGAATGCATAGCTTCTCCAAGTTGTTTTAGAAATTGTAATGCCTACACTCGCAACCCATCAAAGAAGTTAAAAAAGACCATCAGCAATCTTATAAACTCGTTTCTCTAAAAATCTTGTGAGCACTCACCCATGCAGAGTTCCTTAACTTTAACAAAAGAAATTATAAATTAAGAAGGTTCCAATCATCTTATCAGAAGGTCTAAAATCTTTTAACAGATTTCTGTGTCCATTCTGTAAATTGACTTATAAGAACTAAGGAAACAACAACTTAAACTCTTGTTTTAGTGAGGAAAATAATTTGTGCCGTTAGAACCATAACTTCATTGTAGTTGTGTTTCATATCCAATCTTACCGTTGCAGTAAATATTTATAAATAGGTAAAATTGCATAAAAATTGAAGAAAACTATTAATATGTGAAAAATATATATAGATGTGCTCCATCCCCACAAAAAACTAGTCAAAACAATCCATTATATGCTACTTACAAGCACAGGTAACTTGAGTTGAAAAGAATAAAGTTTTCTACATAAAGGAACAAAGAGGATGCCTAACCTGCATTATGAACTTTGAACTTGTTGATATGAAGGAGAATGGAGTTCTCTTTGTATTTGCAACAAAAAGAAATTGACTATCCGTTGCTTTTGGGAGAAAGTAGCAGACTAGCGGACAAGATAAAGAATTGGGAAAGACCATAAATTAGAACTTCTATCAATAAAAAAGGTCTTGACTTTTAAATTTAATATTTCAATTCCTTTTAAAACTTTTGAGTAATCATAAGCTGACTTTTGAGAATTTGGGTATTATATGAAGGACTTATTTAGTAAATTTTGTTTTAATTTGAAAAAGTATTTACACCTCACTGCAAAAACACGCTTCAAACGCCCGGGTGTACGCCCCGAATTGCTGGGCATACGTCTCTTGAGCACCCCACATCATTGCCTCAGGGCATTTTTGGTGCGCCTTGCCCCAGGGCTCGCCCCGAAAACGCCTTTTAAAACACCGGTCAGGAAGTCAGAATTGGACATGTTTAGTATTCAAAGAGAGTGACCTTTTCTCGATCAAATAACAACAATGGTTTCTTATGTCTAAGAATAGGATAAAAAAGATCCCTTAAATATATTTTTAAGCAGCCATGGTCTTTCAAGTTTGTCAAAAGTAAGATCAAACATTTAACAAAAATCGGTTGTTAGATTTAACAAGAACGGTGATTACAAAAAAGATTTAACATGAAATCACATTTGAAGGTGCAGTTTTTGTAACTTCTGCTTCCAATCAGAGTTTTTTTCTTCAACAGTTTGCTTTACTCATGTGAAGCGTATACTCAAATGAGTAGGACATTATTTCAGTCAAGGGCGAATGTAGCCTTTCGGCTACAGGTTCAACTAAACCCATACCTTTCAATACGGAGTATGAATTTATATGTAAAAGTCTCCTAAAATTTTAATAAATATTAGATTTGAACCCATAATTTTAACAGTACAATTAGTTTGATGCTAAAAATCTTAAAATTGAACCCATTAAATTTAAATTCTGGATCCGCCTCTTATTATTTTCAGTCGTCTTGTTTCCATCGTTTCAGTGTAAACAGGTTGCAGAATAAGCATCATCCCTTTTCAAGATGTGGGAGAAGATGATCTAACATAAATATATAGAGACTAATTGTAAGAGGGGTGTCTTCTTGGACAAACCAAATGTTGCATTGTCTACTCATCAACCGAACCGCATTTTTTAACACAAATACAAGGCTTGAACCAAAGTTGTTGATACTACTGAACTCGTAAATTTGACTGTAGATCCGCCCCTGGCGCATTCTTCATGGGCCTGAAATTCTACGCCTATTTCATGTAACGTTCAGGGAAGTTGAGTCTGGCATTTTTCCCGTAGAATCTATAGGCGGCAGCATCATAAGCCACAGCAGCATCATGAGAATTGTCAAAAGTGCCAAGCCAGACGCGAGCAGCACGATTGGGGTCGCGGATTTCAGCGGACCATTTCCTCCAAGGACGCTGGCGGACACCTCTATAGGCACGCCTAGCATTTTCAGGTGCACTATTGGATAAGGTAGTGAGACTAGTAGTAACATCAAGTGACAAATTGCGGTCTGAAGTTGGTGTGGAGATGAAATCGACACCTTTATAAGTGCAGCTAGCATTTTCAAGTCCATCATTAAGTAAAGCAGTGAGTCTAGTAGTATAATCATCCAATGACAAAGAATTCCAGTCTGGATGGGGTGAAGAAGTTGGTGTAGAAATGAAGTCAGAATTGGTGATGTTGAATAGTGAATTGGAATTGGAGTTTGATGAGAATACAACACCTGTTGAGGAATTGTTGAATGAATTATTTGGTGTTGAAACCATGTCAGCGATATCAGATTCAGATATTTCCCCTCCTCTTCCAACTTCTTCAGATTGTTTTTCTTTTGTTAGCACTGTTAGCACAGGCGCAGGTAATTCTTCATTTTGGTTTTTGCTTTCTTGACCACAACTGTGACTTTCTCCATAAATAACTTCAAAAATTGGCGGCTCTGTGTCACTTCGCTTGACCATCTTAGTAGCAATACATTTAGATAAATGATGACGAGCACATCGATAATATTCTCTGCAATGCCATAGAAAAATAATTGTTAGAAGTTAACCTGGAATTCAATGATCAACATGTGAAATTAACCCGGATAGTGTAGTACCATCCAATCCTTAAGCCAATTCATGTCACAACAAATAAAGTGGAACTTCGTACACATGTGCTTTTGGATTTAACTAAAATCAGCTTTGTATATAGGGTGTCCACTACTAATATATCACTATTTTCTAAAGATATATACATGTATACATGGAATTTTTGCCGAACTTTACAGGTGCCGGTGACCCCTCTCTATATAGCATAGGTCCGCCTCTGTTCGTACATACATGGAGACAGAAATATCCAGATTTTGTTGCTGCTGAGCAAGGAACATAGAGAAACAAATTCTCACCTGGGATATTTTGCTCCCAAAATAGGTTTCTGTCCATACTTTCTCCAACTGTATCCATCTTCAGGTGGAACCTCTGCTCCAGATCGAGCATATACGTACTCTGTCCTTCGCGAGATCATCTTCCTACAATGATAAATTGTCTCACAAAAATAAAAGTTCCTAACAAGAACCTCCATCAAATGAAAGAATACTCCAATTTCATTCATATAAAATGTTTCTTTAAATCATCACTTAACCATATTATATCAAGATTAGCTAGGTACCAAGAGCCTACAGGTGACCGATTCGAGCTGTGGAAGCAGCTACTAATGCTTGCATTAGGATAGGCTGTCTAAATCACACCCTTGGGGAGCGACCCTTCCCCGGACCCTGCGAGAACACGGGATACCTTGTGCACCGGGCTGCCCTTGCTAAACTAGGTACCAAGAGAGACAGATTGTGCAAAGCATTCAATTTACCACTAAGATCTAAAGCAATTCGCTACTCTTCAAATGTTCTAAAGATCTATAAGCTTAAATGTAGCACATATCACTTCCATTTATACTAAATTTTGTACTCCAACCAGTTACAAGTGAGAGGGTGCGGTTGTGGATAGTGAAAAAGTTACTTCACCCTTAAAAGAGAGGTCTTAGTTTAGAGCCCTGGAAATGGAGTTCTCGTTGGAACTCTCCATAGTGGGCTTTCTACAGCACAAATCTGGATTAGTCAGAGAAGTTGGTTCGGATACCAGATGATTAAACTAAGAAGAGGGGAAAAAAGAGAGGGATGAGAATACCTCTTCCTGGAGTTAGAAGGACGATCATAACTCTTTGTGCTACTATCAACCGGAAGATGAGGAGATTCCAGCTTATCAGTTGATGAAGAAGGTGCTGAATTCATAATCTGTTTGCCTTTGCTCATTATTGATAAAGCTGTGCCATTTAAGAGGGACAGTGCTTTATCATAGGAAGAAAGTATTTCCACAGATAAATACTGGCATACCTCCTGTTTCATGGGATCAAATTGCTTTTGCAACTGACACATCAATTCCCTCCCCTTGGTTAGCTCAGTGATTACAACTTCTCTCTCCCAACAATTCTCCTCTCCCATTTTTCCGCAAAATCTGAACGCTAAGCAAAGTCAAGAAGCTGGCTGACTACTCTCGAGTAGAGCGCAAAACCAGATATGATGGTTAAACTTAAACAAGGCTATAAATATAGCCAACAGAAAACTTGCAGATCTGAATATGAATTTGAGCTTGATGAGAAAAAGTAATTTTGCTAGTGAGAATAAAAATGAATGAAAAGGGCATATTCAAAGAAATGGATGGGATGGTATACAAATTAGAGGAAATGAAGTATGAAGACTTGCTTATTAGTCTTCATGCCCTTAACAAAGGTAACTGACAGAGTCAACGCACAATGTATTAGTTGACTATCAAGACATTCTTTTACATGCAAGATAGGAACTCAGTTCTTACATAGTACCTACTACTTCCTTCTTCTTTTTTATTCTTTTTTTTTTCAAAGGGAAAATAGTCAAATTTTCTTGTGCCAACGGTCTACCAAAAACAGTCTTTCTGCCTTATTATCGGTAGGGATAAGGTCTATGTACACACTGCCCTCCCCAGACCCCACTTGTGGGATTTCACAATTTTTTGTTGTTGTTGTTGTTGTATTATATTTATCCTCCATTTAAGATTTCGAATAAATTTGCCTTTAGCCTTTGGATAATATATATCAAACTAATTTCCTTTTCAAATTAAAATTTTTTAACTACTATTACTTCAACATTCATTCAAACTAGTACAAATCAAACTAATGATGTAAAATGAAATAGGAGAAATATTTTATTTCTATTTTTTTTTTCCACTGAATGGGAACTCCATAACTGCCAACTCGAAATTGGAAATGAACCCTGTTTGAGACATTAAATCTGACAAAAAGTTAACTTGACAGAGTTTTACGATTCAAGTATTACAAGAATGATCACCATAAAAATATTTTCCCTATAAAAAATGAAATTATTGAAGCAAAAGACTACCCAAATTTCCAAGAATCTCCAATGCAAAGTGTAGTTCCACAGCAAATGGCACTGGCAACTGCTTCCTGCTGGAGCTTCTTTCTTCTTCAACAGTTTTGCACACTTAAGTGCAAATGTATACAAACCCCCAATGGAAAACCAAAAAGAATTTCTAGTCATGTGACTGACCAGGTAATATCCGCAAATTCCCAGAGCCTATGCCAAGTATAACCATCTTCTTGGCTGTGAAGTATCAATTTTCAATTGTGTAGGGATTATTCAATCGTCTTGTTTCTATCATTTCCGTGTAAACAGCATTCCAGAATAAGCATCATCCCTTTTCAAGATGTGGGAGAACATGATCTACCATAAACATATAGAGACTAATCGGAAGAAAGGGGAGTTTTCTTGACCGATACAAATGTAGCATTATATACTCATCGACCAAACTGGATAACAGAGTGAAACTCATGCAATTGCAGTAGTGAAAAGAGCCACGCACAATAGTGCACGTTTACAAAATTAGACAACACCCGGGATTTCACCAAAGAAAGAAATATTCAATCACCCCTTGCTATTGACAAAAGAGAACAATTTTAAGATCCACACTCTTTAAAAAAAAGGAAGGCGGATCTTATACAAGAAAAGTGCAAGTGGAGTGAAACTGGAAACATAGAGCTGCTATTGATGTTACTAATCTAGATTCAGAAACTAATCCGCAACAGATGCACCAACAAAGTCTCTTTCTACTATTCAATTAAACAAATGGAAATGTAAGACTAGGCAACAATGCCAAGTGAAGATTAAACTACTACATAATATCAAAAAAGTATTCCAGACCTTGACCAATTTCCCAAATTGAAATACCTGCCCCCCATGAAAGAGCTTCCTCAAGCCGCACTGCAAGTGACATGAGCGACGGGTAGAATACAGCATGCTGGACTTGCTGATTGTCAGAATACAAGAAGAAATGCTCAGCACTGTCCTCCTCCCACTGAATTACAGGCTTGTGTTGCTCCAACAAAGAGAGATACTCGTGTGCTATGATAGGCCCCCCACCTAAACCTGTGCACGTGATGATCCTTCGCAAATGATGAACAGATACAAACAACTACAGAATCATTATGCTCTTTAAAGATTATGATTAGTGCCACTTCATGGAAACCCATATAGGATGAAATAATCACCCAATCGTCTGGTTAAATTTTATTATACTAACTCTCTGACTCCCTCTTCAACGGTCACTCACGCCGGTGACCTAGCCAAACGCCGGCGACCATCAGCTCCGGCAGGTAAGTCACTCTGCTTCTCTCTCCTCCCTCTCCCCGCTCTCCCCTCTCTATTGTTCTTCTTCTTTTCTTCTTTTCCTTTCCCTTTCTTTTCTGTTTCTTTCTGCTCGTCACCGGCGAACACCCCAGTGCCGGCGACAACCCTTCTCTCTCTCCTCTCTCTCTCTCTCTCTCTCTCTCTCTCTCTCTCTCTCTCTCTCTCCCTTTTCCCGAAGCCATGTGCGTGTGTGTGTGTGTGTTTGTTTACGGGCGTGTGCAGCAAATCAGGGTCGGGTGACTACGGATTTTCCGGCAGAACTCAATCGCACCAGCGTAAGTATCCAACCAGTAGGGTTCCAGCAATACGACGGGATACGGCCAATACATTCAATTTTCCGGTGTGCCCATTTCTTTCCGGCGACATTCCATCCAGGGGTCCTTTTCTAGCGGCGGCGCCTTACATTTCCGGTTGACGTCAAGGTTATATCTTTCTTGAATTCTTTTCTTTCCTGTCGTATTTGTACCTTTAGTTAGATTATTTGCTCTAGAACTTACTTGCTTTACTGTATTCATATTAGCATCTTTGTGTTCTTTTAATTTTTTATGTTCTTAGTTTGTCTCTGTGTTTTTTCACGGTAGACTAGTTTCTTTCCCTAGTTTACCTTGTTGCGTGTTGTAATGGTACTAGCATAGTATCCCTTGATTTAGAGTGGTTGGGGTGTATTGAGGTCATGTCCTCGGGTGGGTCGAGGGCTGGGGTTAAGGGCGGCAAGGGGGACACTAGGCTGAGAATTGGATATTGGAATATTGGGACATTGACGGGGAAGTCTATAGAACTAGGGAAGATTCTCCAGAAGAGGAAGATCAACAGAGTGTGTGTCCAGGAAACTAGATGGGTGGGTACTAATGCGCGGGATATCAACGGTATAAACTGTGGTATTCGGGACGTTCTAGGGGCAAAAACGGGGTTGAAATTTTAGTAGATAGAGATCTTAGGGAGCTGGTGGTAGATGTTAAAAGGGTGAACGATAGGTTGATGGTTATTAAATTAGTGGTTGGTGGGCTTACTTTAAGCATGATTAGCGCATACCCACCGCAAGCAGGCTTGGACGAGGAGGTCAAAAGGCATTTCTGGGAGGATTTGGATGAGGTGGTGCGCGGTATTCCGCACACCGAGAAGCTTTTCATAGGAGGTGATTTTAATGGCCATATTGGAAGACGGCTGGGGTATAACGATGTGCACAGCGGGTTCGGTTTTGGAGTTAGGAACGAGGGTGGTGCTTCTCTGCTGGATTTTGCTAAAGCTTTTGATCTAGTGGTAGTTAACTCGTGTTTTCGGAAGGAGGACCACTGGGTCACGTTCCGGAGTATGGTGGTCAAGATCCAGATTAATTATCTTCTCTGCGGGAAGAGGAATAGAGGTCTATGCACGGATTGCAAGGTTTTACCGAGTGAGCGGCTTTCGACACAACATACGCTCTTGGTAATGGACTTGGAGATTAAGAAAGTGAGGAAGAAGAGAGCAGTGAATGGTCAACCCAAGATCTAGTGGGGAGCCTTGACTAAGGACAAAGCTCAAGAGTTGGGGAGAAGTTGTTGACTATGGGGGCCTGGAGGAGTAGTGGAGATGCGAGTAGTATGTAGACCATGACAGTGGGCTATATTAGGAAGCTGCTAGGGAGGTGCTAGGGGTCATGAAGGGTCACTCTAGAGGTCACAAAGGGGGGAGAAGTCCAAAGAAAAGTGGAAGCCAAGAAAGCGGCGTTTATGAAGCTAACGGAGAGCGCCGACGAGGAGGAGAAGAGGACGAACATGGAGCAATAAGAAAGCAAAGAAAGAGGCGAAGTTAGCGGTCACGGTAGCTAAAGTTGTAGCCTTTGAGCACTTGTATGAGGAACTTGGGGGCAGAGGCGGTGACAAGAAATTGTTCAGGTTAGCCAAGGCGAGGGAGAAGAAGGCTCAAGACCTGAACCAAGTGAGGTGCAGTGTTGGTGGAAAAGGCGTGTATTAGGTGCAAGTGGCAGGCATACTTCCATAGACTCCTGAACGAAGATGGGGACGGGAGCATTATGAGGAACTTGGGGGCAGAAGCGGTGACAAGAAATTGTTCAGGTTAGCCAAGGCGAGGGAGAAGAAGGCTCAAGACCTGAACCAAGTGAGGTGCAGTGTTGGTGGAAAAGGCGTGTATTAGGCGCAGGTGGCAGACATACTTCCATAGACTCCTAAACGAAGATGGGGACGGGAGCATTGTGCTCAGGGAGTTGGAGAACTCAGAAAGCGAGCGAGATTTCAGGTTTTGTAAGCGTATTAAGATTGGGAAGCCGAGGAGCCTATGCGGAAGATGAGTAAGGGTAGGGCGACCAAACCAGACGAAATTCCAGTGGAATTTTCGAAGGACGCAAGCCGGGCAGGCTTGGAGTGGCTTACTGGATTGTTTAATGTCATTTTTAGGACGAAGCGGATGCCAGAAGAATAGAGGTGGAGTGGGATGGTCCTATTGTACAAGAACAAGGGTGATGTCCAGAATTGCACCAACTATGGGGGTATCAAGCTGCTGAGTCACACCATGAAAATTTGGGAGAGGGTAGTGGAGAGGAGGGTGAGAAGGAGTGTGTCTATTTCGGAGAATCGGTTCGGATTCAGAAGCCATCTATCTTGTGAGGAGGTTGATAAAGCAATATAGGGAGAGGAAGAAGCACTTATATATGGTATTCATTGACTTAGAAAAAGCCTACAACAAAGTCCCTAAGGAGGTTCTATGGAGATGTTTGTAGGTTAGCAGCATTCCGGTAGCGTTCATTAGGGTGATTAAGGACATGTACGATGGAGCTAAGACTCGGTTGAGGACTGTGGGAGGGGATTCGGATTATTTTCCAGTGGTGATGGGATTGCATCAGGGATCAGCTCTTAGCCCATTTTAATTTGCCCTAGCGATGGATGTGCTGACGCGTAACATCCAAGGAGAAGCGTCATGGTGTATGTTATTTACAGATGATATACTGCTTATTGACGAGATGCGCGGTAGGGTTAATGCTAAACTGGAGGCGTGACGACAGACCTGGAGTCTAAAGGTTTCAAGTTGAGTAAGACAAAAACAGAATACTTGGAGTGTACGTTCAGTGTTGGGACGCATGAAGCAGAAGTGGACGTGAAGCTTGATACCCAAGTCATCCCTAAAAGAGATAGTTTCAAATATCTTGGGTCTATTATACAGAGTAACGGGGAGATTGACGAGGATGTAACACACCGTATAGGAGCAGGGTGGTTGAAATGGAGGCTTGCTTCTGATGTTTTGTGTGACAAGAATGTGCCACCTAGACTTACAAGGCAAATTCTACAAAGCAGTAGTTAGACCGGCCATGTTGTATGGAGCCGAGTGTTGGCCAGTCAAGAAATCTCATGTCCGGAAGATGAAAGTAGCAGAAATAAGGATGTTGTGATGGATGTGTGGGCATACCAGAAAAGATAAGATTAGGAATGAATATATTAGGGACAAAGTGGGTGTGGCTCTTGTGGAAGAGAAGTTAAGGGAATCGAGGCTGAGATGGTTTGGTCATGTGAAGAGGAGAGACGCTGATGCCCCGGTTAGGAGGTGCAAGAGGTTTCCCGTGGCGAGACAGAGGAGGGGTAGAGGGAGGCCTAAGAAGAACTGGGGTGAGGTAATTAGGCAGGACATGGCTCTGCTCTAGCTTACCGAGGACATGACCCTCGATAGAAAGGTGTGGAGGTCGAAAATTAGGATGGTGGGTTGATAAACAGTCTAGAGTTTTGCCTTGTCTTACCAGTAGTAGTAGCACTAATCGGGTACCTTCTTATTCCTAGTCCCTTGTTTCTATACGGTATGTGGCACTATTCTTGCAGTTTCATATCCCTGAATTTCTGTCATCATACTGTCTTATTACATTGTTGTTGCAATTGTTTCTCTATTGCTCCATTTTTTACGTTCTTGAGCCGAGGGTCTTTCGAAACTGCCTCTCTACCTTCATAGGTAGAGATAAGGTCTGCGTACACACTACACTCCCCATACCCCACTTGTGGGATTCCACCGGGTTGTTGTTGTTGTTGTTGTTAATCACTAATACTTGAATCGACTTTAAAGAGTGTTTCATTGCACTTGAATCATTAAAATTTATCCTTAAATATTCTGCTGATGTTACTCTCATAGGTCAAGATAACTTGAAACTACATCCTTGCATTCACCCATAGCTAACTGAATATTTTAGTTGCATTTCCTTCCAGCAAAATATATATCCCATGATTTCAACGGAGATGAGTGATCAACTGAATCATTTAAAATAAAATTTAGCAGTCCTTTGCATGACATGAATATTAACTTGGTCGCTACATCTATGATTTCAGAACGTTCCTATGATCTTCGTCAAAACTTTACAGATTAGGGAAAGATAGAATTCCATTTAGCTATTTGTTGGTAAGTTTCAGTAAACCTTGCACTTCTAGCATTTTCTATAAGGCAATCCTAGATATCATTAGAGGTTCTTTTTCTTCTTTTTCCTTGGGGGGGAGGGGGTATTGTTGCTACATATAACACAGCAAGATAAATATATACATACCTTTTGACAGGACAAAATCATTGCCATAGAAGTTGATCCCGACAAATATCTTTTCAGCTAATCCCCTACCTTTTGCACCAGCAAGAAGATGCAAGGTCGATCGTATCCACTTCAGAGGTGCATTGGGACCTGGATTATAAGGACTTGAATAGTCATACGTCATAAGAGAGAAACCATCTACAGCATCACTCAGGACTTGTAAATCTTCTGGTCCAAAATCATGCTCCTGCAGCTTATCTGTACGTGGTGGACCTATCACATACACTAACTGTAGATTTGTCTTGCCATTCCTTTCTAAGTGCACAGAATGCATAGCTTCTCCGAGTTGCTTTATAAATAGTAATGCCTACACTTGCAACCCATCAAAGAAGTTTAAAAAAACCATCAGCAATCTTGTAAACTCCTTTCTCTAAAAATCTTGTGAACTACTCCATATAGCAAAATTACACTCACCCATGCAGAGTTCCTTAAGTTAAAAAAAAAGAGAAATTATAAACTAAGAAGGTTCAAATCATCTTACCAAAAGGTCAAAAATGCAGATTTAAATGTCAAACTCCCCTGATTCTCTAAAATCTTTTAACATACTTTTCTGCATCCATACTGTAAATTGACTTATACGAACAAAGGAAACAACAACTAACACTCTTGGTTTAGTGAGGAAAATAATTTGTGCCTTTAGAACCTCAATTTCATTGTAGCTGTGTTTTACATCCAATCTTACCGTCACAGTGCATGTAGCCGAACATTCCCGCCTACATCTTAGGCACAGTCACCAAACAGAAACAGCAACCCGGGGCTTTAGACTTAAATGTTTTTCATCATTTTTATTATTTCTTTACATAGAGAACTTAAATGTTCTTCCAGAAGGATTCACCACATTCTCACAAGCCAATTAGTCAAAATAAAATGGATAAATGACTACAATTGACTTATTAAATAATTTTTACTTTTATTTTTGGGTGAAGCTGACTATTGTATAATTGACAGCCAGAAGATAAAAAGTTATTGATAATAAAAGTAAAAATTTTATGACATAAAAAAGTTAGGAGACCATTAATTGTTTACAAGACTCGTTATACACCAAAAGTAAGGTGGGCTCAGATAATGCCAATTCGGACCTCCTCGATGAATGATCGTTTCAAGGACTGATTAGAACGGCATTGTTCAAAGGGGCAATGCTCCTTGGCATATATTTGTAATCAGCATACCCACATAGCCATTTAACGAAACCAAAAGAAGAAAGAAATGGCTAACTATACCTATTTGAAGCAATATCAGTGGGCAACTTGAACCATTGTTGAGCTTAGATTTGCAAAGGAACTGATGGGCAGATATGTTTATTTGTAAGCGAGTGCTACTTAAATAATATAATAGTAATTATAGGGTCTGTTATATCTCCACAAAAAAAATTGATGAAGTAAGGGAATTTCATTAAATGGCATCAAGAAGATGCATAGCAAAAAATATATCTCCACAATTTTAGGGCTTTTGACATTTATTTCCTAATAATTAAAGGCCTTTGGCACTTAAATGACAATTAGAAGGGGTTGCGTAGATTGAAAGAGTTGGGAAATGATGTTCCACCTTGTATTTATTAGTAGAGTGAATAGAAATTTCTACATAGGTAATAAACTACTCATTTTACCGGAAAATTACTATCAAGGTAGTGGTCTAACCTTAAATACTATGACACATAATGTTTGGCATTTACCTCAGTTGGGAAGGAAAAAATGATTCTCCCCAACCAAAAACTGAATGAAAATGCGAAGTCTTATACTGTTACATATGCACTGTTTAGTGTGACATTCTCAATTCACTGATGAAACCATTTTGCAATTAATGGGAAAAACATATGCTTTCTTTAAGAGCACAACTCAGTCATATCCTTACAACTTTCTAGTAAATAATATTTTTCACTTTCGCAATCAACCAATGCCTCAATACCAAATAAGTTGGGATCGGCAAGAGATACAACAAAGAAGACTTCCCAAGGATGTCACATCATAGTACTCTTGCACAAACATGTATAATTCTGGATGCAATCAAAAAAAGAAAATTGAAAAGTACAAGATAGGATCTTATAAAACTTAGGGGTCAATTGTTTTGCAGAAGTTAGAACCACACACCATCTTATAAGAACAACAAAGCGTGTTATAGTTCAGGCTCTACACAAATGGTCATCATTCCTAAGTGTGACGACCCAAAGGGGTCATCACCTGTTTCCTCATTTATTCCGTGCTTCCAAGGCCTTGAAAACCTCTTTTTTTTTACTTGCCTCGATTTGCGTGCGCAGTCCGGGCGCGTAGCCGGAAAAGCTTAAATATGCATCTTCTGTGTGAAAAATGATGAATTTTGATATTAATATGATTAAAGTTGACTTTGGTCAACATTTTTGGTAAACGGACCCGGACCCGTGATTGGATGGTCCCGGAGGGTCCGTAAAAAAATATGGGACTCGGGCATATGCCCGGAATCGAATTCCGAGGTCCAGAGCCCGAGAAATGAATTTTTCTGTGAAATTATTTTTCTGAAATTTATATGAAAATTTGAAATAAAAATTTATTAAAAGACTGTGGTATCGGGCTCGTATTTTGGTTCCGACGCCCGGTACAAGTCTTATATATGGTTTAAGCGCTTTCTGTGAAATTTGGTTGAAATCGGACATCATTTGACGTGTCTCGGACCCAAATATCTCAAATTTGAAGTTTATGAAGTTTGATGAAAAAGTGATGATTTTGAGGTTTGATTCCTCGTTTTTGATGTTATTTTGGCGATTTAATCGCATGGTTAAGTCCGTAAGATGTTGTCGAGTTAGTGAGTGTGATTGGTTAGGAGCCCCGAGGGCTCGGGAGTGTTTTCGGAGGTTTTCGGGGTTGTTTTGGACTTAGGGAGTTAGCAGATTTTCTGCAATTTTTACACAGGGATTTTCTTCATCGTGTTCGCACTAGCCCTCCCGCGTTCGCATAGCCTTGCTCCCTTTTCTCCTTCACGCTCGCGTTCTGGCCATCGCGATCGCGAAGCTTTTCTGCTTCCTTCAACGCGTTCGCGTGTCTCCTCACGCGTTCGTGTAGGCCCAGATCCCAGACCCCAGCCATTTACTCTACACGTCCGCACTCCCCCTGTCGCGAACGCGGTGCTTCCCAGCCCCCCTTCTTCGCGAACGCGACCCCCATATCGCGAACGCGAAAGGCAAATTTGTCCAGCGATTTTAAATACCCAAAACAGAACCCATTTCGGGAATTTTACCCATTTCACGAAAACCATTCTTCTCCACAGCCTTGTAACGATCCTTGGAGCATTTCTTCACCAAATATTCTTGGGTAAGTATTACCTAACTCATTTTCTTCATTTTCTATCATCATCCAATGAAATCCTAGGCCTAGAACATGTAATCTAGGGTTGAAATTGGGGGAAATGGGTAGTGTTAGGGCTTTTCGATTTTCTTGAATTTAGACCTCGTTTTGGGGTCGAATTTGAAAACAAATTGTATATTCGGGCTCGTGGGAATAGGAACATGAATTGGTTCGAACCTGATTGTTTGACAAGCGGGCCCGGCGAGCGATTTTGTTGGATTTTTAGAAGAGAGCTTGGAAAATTCATATTTAAGTATTGCGGTTTAGTTTGTTAGCTATTATTAATATTGTAAAGTCATTTTCATAATTTGACTGAGTTCGGGCGAATTCGAGGAAAGCTATACTAGAGGCTTGATGTGAGATTTGGGATCGAGGTAATGTTCGATCTAACTTGGCTGAGGAATAGGATAAGTATTATTTGCTAATTGTAAATGTGAGTAACGGTGTATTAGCAGTGACGAGTATCTATACACCGGTGTCTAACACATGACCGTGAGAGTCCTGTATTGTTGCTTATTTGGGCATTCGGTATGACTCTTCCTTGTTAAGTTGGTGGTTTTTATATGCTATGGAAGGAAGAGAAGAAATAATGATTTGTAAACTCCTTGGAGCGTTGCTCGATTTTTGACTATTATAAGTAAGGAATGGAACGTAGTAAAAAGGAATGTATTTATCTCCCCGCCCCGGATGTTTTGAACATATTGTTGTTGCTCCCTTGCCGAGATTTAGTTGTTTGGCTTGTTCTCCCTTGCCGGATATTTTAATTGTTTGTCTATCCCCTCGCCGTTGTTTGATATGTTGTTTGGGTAGGAAGAGTGATATTGCACGAAGGGTCATTCCGGCCATGTTTTGATTTATTTATGCAACGAAGGAGACCATTCCGTGCCATGTTTGATTATATTTGCACGAAGGGTCATTCCGTGCCATGTTTTTGATTATCTTATGCACGAAGAACATCCGCTGCTGTGATTGATTACAATGTGCACGAGGATCATTTTGTGCCATGATATGAGAGTTATGTGAGGGAAAGCACGAAGGTTGATGCCGTGCACTTTATTTGATTGTTTTGGTGAGTACGAGAGTAAAAGCACGAAGGGTGATACCGTGCACTTGTCTTTGATTTTCCTGATGTTTTTGCTGATAATTGAGTTACGTTGTCCTCTACTTCTATTTATTGATTTTCTTGTTGTTATCGGTTCAAGTGCATTAGTTGTCTTATTCCGTTATTACTGAGTTTCTTTATGTTGGCATTTTTCTTTATTGTGTTACTTGTCATTACTTGTTTTCTTCGGTGAGTCATAATTATTGTGTACTTGTTGTCTTATGAATTCGTATAAATTGTTGCGTTGTATGGAGTAAATTTCATTGGAAGAACTGTTGATATTATAAAATGGGCTCGTGTGGCACGCCGACCACTTATATATTATAAAATGGGATCGTGTGGCACGCCGACCACTTATATATTGTAAGATGGGATCGTGTGGCACGCCGTCCACGTAATCTGTGTTGGAAGGAACCAGTTGTGATTTTTCCTTATGTACTCCTATGTTCTATTTTTATCCGTTATCCCCAAAAGCATGTTTTTTTTTCCCCTCCCAGTCTTGATTATTATTTTCCGCTGTTATTTTTGTAGTACTTGTACACATATATCTGCACAGGTTGATTGGTGGTCCTGTCTAGCCTCGTCACTACTTCGCCGGGGTTAGGCCAGGCACTTACCAGCACATGGGGTCGGTTGTGCTGATGCTACACTTCTGTGCTCTTTTGCACATATCACGGTACCGGAGCAGCTTTTGGACCACAGCAGTAGTTGATTGGGAGCTGGCATCAGTCCAGGGACTTTCGAGGTAGCCTAGCTAGCGTTCGCAGGCCGGGGTACCTTTCCATATTTTTAGTTTGTTTTCCTTGTACCGAGACAAATATTGGTGTATTTCTATTCTGACTTGTTTTTTAGCACTCTTTAGTAGTTCGTGAGTTAGCGACACCAGTCTTGGGTAGAGAAATGTTAACTTCCGCAAATTTTTGGGTTTTCAGTTATTTAAGTTCTAAAGACTTCCGCTTTTATATTAACTGTCTTGTTGATCTTTATATTTGTTGATGATGTTAAGAGTAATATTAAATCAATTGGCTTGCCTAGCTCCTATTAGTAGGCGCCATCACGACTCCCGATGGTGGGAAATCCGGGTCGTGACACTAAGTGTATTACTAAAGGAAAAAGCAAAGAACAAGAATAAGAAGAAAGAAGGTAAGCACTTAACCATATTTCTCTTATCTGAATCATGCAAGATGCCATAAGCTACCCATCTTGACCAGGATTCAAGCACAATACCATCATACTCCAAATCCCTACATAAGATAAAAGGATTCCTAAGTATGTGGATGAAGAAAATGTATAGACAGAAAAGATATACTAATTGCATTTCCAACCACTGAATGAAGGTTACTATTTGTAACAGTATAGGAAGTCAGCAATCATTATTGGTAGGATAAAGATATCAAATCAGTTACAATATCTCTAAGCAAATTTAACCAAAATAAGTAGGTAATAGAATGAAAATCGCTAGCAAACACTCACCAGATACACATTTGGCAAAACTTATCTCTATAGTCCAAGCCGGAGAACAAAACTATCTGATAGAGCATACACTTTCTACTTCATAATACTATGCATAAATTATTCATTCACTATCTTTGTACACAGCACAGGTGGCAGCAAATAGCACCAATTTAGCTTATAGTTGAGTACCCACACCATCCCCTTCCCCCCACCTTCATGGAAAAGTCAATAAAGATAAGAAAATTCAAGCAGACAGCTAAAACAGAGACTCACTTGCACTCCGTTATGATAAGGTTGATTGCTTTCTCCCTAAGCCTCTTCTTCTTAAGCAGGTCCACTGGAATTGCCTCCAGGACAACTCTAGGTAAAATCTATACATAGAGAACAAGAAGAAGACCATTAGACAAGTTGGTGACCCAACTTAAGGTAAAGATTAGACTATTAGTTAATTCTCAGCTGTTAGCAATTAGCATCATCTCTATAGGCTTCTCTATTCAGGGGACCTGTTAGGCAACGGCAAGCAGTTCCGAGAAAAAAACTTTCTTGGGAGCAAGTGGTCGAACAAGTATTAGACAAACAGAATTCCAGATGCCTTCGACCCCCGAGCCAAACCCAACCTCCCTCGGCTTATCAGAAATAAAATACAGTGGTAAAGGAACCAATTCTAAGCAGTAACCCAACACTTCACCCTAGACTCCTGATGAAATCATGTTCCCCCCTTTTGTTCACTTCACGGTGTTCCGGCTGTATGAGTGCCACAAATTACATAATATATTTGCAATAATATACATTTCAATGTGGTCGGTTACCATACCAGAGAATTTCCTTTCATTCGAATGTCTGAAATCCATCCTCTATCAGCATTATGTCTTCCATTCAGAACTAATTTACTTCCTTCACTGGCATCATAAAGTACAAGAAGTAATGATATTAAAACGTGGAAATGCTTATAATACAAACAGTTCTCTTATAGTCGTAATATATTGAAGAGTATTCCTGATATTGCAGCCCCTCTAAATCAGTACCCATTCCTATACTTGATTAAATTTTGATTCATTACTTTCATTTATTTGATAGTAGCAAGGACCTGGTGGTTATAGAGAAAACAACAAAATAAAACTATATCTAACAGCTTAGTCGTTGTTCTCAAGAGAAGGATCAGGCTTCAAAATTAATCATCTCATGTACAACGTCACAGAGCCAATTGAATAGCATGAAAACACATAGTTTACGATAACTGCATTATGCTTCAATGTATCCCCAAGGTACTTTCACTATTCAACAGTTAAGCTAATCATGAGTTCACTTACTTCTTCAGTTCATACCAAACAGGTGACAGATGTGTAATTTTAGAACTGAACTTCTTCGCCAGGTCATAGCCTTTTGAATTCCTGCACCATTGGTCATACCGTCATGAACTGTAGAATCCAAAGCTACATCTATCACTGTCAAAACAATTTCTTTTAGTAGGTAGTTCCACATTGGCACATCTAAGAAATTTCTATCAGCATTCTTTCATGCCAAAATGAACAGAAACAAGCTAGTAAAAGGTTCCCCCTTCTCAAAGTTTTAATTTTTCCACATTTATCCATCACTTGAATCCTCACTGATTGTAGAATTTTCCTGTCACGAAATAACCCCTTTGCTTAAAACAAAGAACAAACTACTAATATAACTCCTCCTCAATCCCAAAGTAGTTGGTTCGACTATAAGAGTCCTCTATATCCATTCCACCTATGAAGACTCATCATAATTTAACTATTTTTAGAATAGTCATCAACCTACCGCAACCATCTTCCGGCTCTACAAACCTCAATAGCCACATAATTGGAGTTCTACACTAAAAGAAGTTTCCTATTTAAGTACATGACATTATGGACATTACCCAGAGCAGGTATTATAATCTAGTACTCCCTCCGTTCCAAAAAGGATGGAACTATTTCCTTACTAGTCTATTCCAAAAAAATAAAAAAGATGGCCCTTTTCTGAATTTGAAAATAGTTCAACTTGAACTTCCCGATTTACTCTTAATGACAAAGCTTTTATAGACACACAAATTTTATGGCAAGTTTACGACCACAAATTGCAAAAGTTTCCTTTCTTTCTTAAATTTTGTGTCAAGTCAAATAAGTTCACACAAATTGAAACGGATGGAGTAGGGTTTAGCGTCTAAATCAGTTTATATTCTCTTGTCCTTTCCAACCACCAACCACTCACTAAGATTAACAAAAAGGTGGATTTCGACGTATACAACTTCATACTTCCTCTGTTCCAATTTATGTGACACTATTTCCTTATTAGTCCATTTAAAAAAGAATGACATATTTCTATATTTAGAAACATCTAACTATAAACTTCCCGATTTATTCTTAATGAGAGCAGCTTTGATAGAACACAAATATTATGGCATGTTTTAACATCACAAGTTTCAAAAGTCTCCTTTTTTTTCTACTTACAACTCTAAGCCGAGTAAAACTATGTCATATAAACTGAAGCAGTAACAATTAAACATTATTCAACATAGAGTTAAACAAATGCAAATACCATGGAGTAATATAGGCCAGGACAGGATTCCTAAAATGCCGCTGACTTATATTTTCTGAGACTTTGGAATTCTCCTGCAATTCTTAAAAATTCCCCAAATAAATCAAAAAAAAAGATGTATTTTTTACAAAAGAAATAGAAATTGGCGGAGTATAAAATGTACAGTGAGAATTTCACGGTAGGTCAAATCGGTTTTAACGAGGCCACGCTGGTAAACATACGGTCTGTTACTATCAGCATCACGAACAGTAGTAGAGAAATAGTAATTTTGACGGTAAATAAGTAAACAAAATGCAAAGAACAGAATGCAGAAGGTGGTGAGCCAACGATGTCGATTTGTGTGAGATTTTACTGAGCCGTGGGTCTGGTGGTTCTGGGATGAGGACTCGACTCCTTCGGACCGGTGGCTCGAGCTCTGACCTACTCGTCTAGTTCGCTTCTGAGCCATTTGTGATCACACTGAATAGAACTCGAACAGTCCCGAGCTGAAGGAGAGAGTTGAGTAATAGAGTGGAAGTTAACAATTGCACTTGAGTTTCTATTCTTACATTTTGGTCTAGTTACTTTTTACAAATAAGTTATACTGCCACTGTCCCAATTTATATGACATAAGATTTGGAGAGTTAAAAGTAGTTGTTTCTTGACCATATGTTTACCGTGAAAATGATAATAACAATTAAATTTGATTTAGTGAGGTTCTAAAAATATGTGATCTACTTTTGTGCTAGTTGTTAAGCAGTTAATGCTATGTGGAAGACTTAGAAGCGAGATAAGAGCTTAAAAACGAGATATTAACCAAACCGAATCACTATCAATCGGGGCCTCGAGATTATTTATTCGGGGCCTCGAGGTCGAGTCGGATGCTCGGCTGGGAGCTATCGAGGGTAGTCAATGGGCGACTAACGGTTGTAATAAGATCAATGACGGCTCTTTATAGCCAATAACAAGCAATAAATGAAGAACAATAAAAAGAACACAATGAATGTAAGCAATAAACGAAGCAATGAACTCAAGAGAATATGTTAGAGAGCAAAGAGAATGTTCTTGTGTATTTAGTATGAAGCAACCGCCTTTTCAAAGTAGCAAGGACCCCCTCCTTATATGAGGGGAAACCCTCAACATAGTACAAATACTTTATTACAAAGATATGGAGATGGAACAGCTAGATGACGCTATGATTCAGGTTTGAACTTAGCCCACCAGACTTTGTCAGCTCTGGTTATGTGCCTTGGGAACTCCCCACTTTTTCATCACTAGCGTTGGTCTGCACTGCCCCGAGATCGAGCGTCTATAGCCCTCGAGGGCGAACCTCGACCATAATCTCGAACCTGTGAAATATGCTTACGAGCTGTCGCAACGATAGAAAATTGGACCCTCCGATTTTACTGCATACAGATAGTCCCCGCGTTTCTTAGAGTGAAAAATGATAAGAAACGACCTTGAATTCCTGCCCCCTCTGGCACTTCCGTAATGACGGCAGTCATAGGGTGCCAAAGATTGCATACACACAGCCATTTGAAAGCCTTTGCATTGATTACAGTGACTGGCTGTCTTTTGGCCTTCTTCAATGAGCGTGCGGGTCCTCTATAAATACCCCTTTTCTCGTTCTTCATAACTCTCTGCACTTCCAAGCTCCCAAAAAGGTTCTTGTTACCCTCACTTTCGTTCATTCTTCGAGACGTAGTTCCCCCTTTTCTTCTGAAATCTTTTAGGAATGGCTAGAACTTTCGCCGTTGTTTCTCAGGAGAACGCGACCTCTTCCTCCTCGCTTTCATCTAAAGGCAAAGCGGTAGTGCCTCCTCCTGTTGAGGAATGCGTTCCGGGATTCTTTACAACGGCTTCCGATTTCAAGGTCGAGAAACAGTCTTTGAAGCCGGGGCGTCGCGAGCCTGTGTCTTAGTATATTAGCTCAATAACAGACGTGGGAAGGGTGAAGACTGACTGTCGCTGGGGGGATGCGGTGCTTGTGGAGATCCCTTCTAGAGAGGAGGATATAACGACATACAAAGCCAATTTTCTCAGTGTGTATACTTATCCATTTACCCTTGGGCCGGTGGGTCCATCCTCGCCTCCGATAGATCATGTGGTTCTCGACTTCTGCCGACGGTATCGAGTGACCCTCGGCCAAATTCATCCTTCGTTCTGGCACGTTGTCTATATGATCAGGTATTATGTGAAAATGATTGGGGGGATACCCTTTACCCTCGACCACCTGGTCAGGATGTACAACCCTTGTCTCTTTCGTGGGGGCCTGATTAAGCTCCACTGCCGAGCTTCGAGGGCCCTTTTTTCTTGCATCGATGAAGTTGGGAACGGATGGTGGATGAGCCGTTTTGTTCATGTTAGGGCCTCGGACCTGATTCCGGCTGAAAGGATGCCGTTCCCCGAGAGATGGAACATGGAACATAAGTAGATACATTATCCAGCATCTGTTTACTTCCTTTTGGGTACATCTTTCCATGCGCTAATTTCTTCTACTGATGCAGCCGTGGCAGTTTACCCCGGTGCGGTTGCAGACCTCTCGGGCTGGATCGGTCGGCTGGATTTGATTTGCCCAAGCTCGTGGGAAGCCAAGAGTCACGGTGAGCTCTTACTTTTGCTGCAGTCGTACCTTTTAATCTAAATTGCTACCGATGGCGTCCTTATTCCCTGTGCTCACTTCTTGCACTCGTGCAGGTCTGGGGGAGGTTCCCTTGATGAAGGAAATATTGCTTGGAGAAGAGGGTACCCTGAGACCCGACGAAGGGAAGAAAAGAAAGGGAGGTCCGTTGAATGAAACTTCAGGAGCCAAGAAAACCAAGATGGAAGAAACTGAGGCCAGCCCAGCAGTCTTAGCCCCAGAAGCAGCGGGAAGTCCCCAAGCTGAAGGCTAGGGAGAAAATAATTTCTTGATAGCGCCCAAAAGGGGGGAAAACCCGATCGACCTTCACGTCGGAGATACGATGGCTCCTGAGCCGGGGCTTGATGTCGTCGTGGTCTGACTTCGGGCTGGAGAGGCCACCGAGGAAGCATTGGGCGATGTCCCCGAGCCGGCTGATGGTCAATATATCCCTCGAGCCGTGACGCACCCGGAAGGCGGCTCGGAGGAAACCAATTCTGAAGCTCTACGGGGACAAGAAAAGGCCCCGACTGACCCTGTTAGTGTTGTTGTCGTGAGTGATTCCCCTCGGACGACGATTCTACCTTCCTAGGGGGCGCAAGATGCCTAGAATAAAGGAGTTTCCAATGTGGGGGTACCCATCGGAGGCAGAGACACGTTTGAGAGGCCTTTAGCTGCTCCCAAGGGAATCCTTGAGCTCGATGCTTCACTTGTTTTCAGCGAGATGAACATGCTTTATGAGCAGGTAGTTTTTGTAAGTCCTGCCCGTTGTCCTGATCTTTATCTTCCTAACTAGTCTTCTTCATGGTTTCAGGCCAGGGCGCTTTATAATCAGACTTTCGCTTGGTTTCAGGTTGAGGTGACTCGTCACGAGCGTGAGAAGACTCATCTTGTTGAGCAGGTTTCCTAGCTTCCGTTGGCTATTGTTTGGATGTTTGCCAAATTCCAGCGTTTTGACATCTTTGATCTGATTTGTGCAGTTTGAGAGGGAAAATGCCCTACTGGGGTAGGAGCTCCGAGCCAGAAACTCCGAAGTTCTAGAACTCAAACGGCACGTGAGCGAGATAACTTTCGAGAGGGACATCCTCCAGGAAATGATGGCCTTAGTTGGACATCAACTTCGTGATGCGAGGGCGGATAGTGACAAGTACAGAGGTCTCCATTCTAAATTAGTTGTTGTACTATCCGGAATCAAAACTGAAGCCGAGGCGCTCATCTCTCCGCACAAAGAGGATGACGTTGTAGTAAACGTTCAAACCGGGAGAGCGCCTGAGGAGGCCGAGTTGAAATTGACTCGAGCTGTGGAGCAAGCTTGGTTAGAATCTCGGAGGCGGACTCTCGAAGATATACAAGCGGGAGGTATCAATTTGTTTGCCGAGCTCGAGAGGGTGAAGACCCTGGAAAAGGAGGGTGCTGCCTTGTTCGCTTCTGGAGGTGCATAGGGTAGCGGCTTACAAGATGATGAGAACGAAGGTGGAGCCCCCAGAGAGGAGGAGGCCATTGAAGGACCCGAAGTTGGAGCCGGAACTGTTGGGGCGTACCCTCTAGCGGAGCCATTGAAGATGTAGGCTCAATGATAGATTAGGGTCTGTTTGTCTCCTTCTTTGTAAAGGTTTTTACAGGGCTTGTAAGCATGCCTCTGTGAGCAATATGTATAAAATGCTTTTTTTTCTTTATCACTTCTTTTCCCCTTTGTTTTTATTGCTGGCGACAGTGGCTCTTACGCATTGGGTCGGTACGCCCTTTGATTTTAGTGCTGGCGACAGTGGCTCTTACGCGTCGGGTCGGTACGCCCTTTGATTTTAGTGCTAGCGACAGTTTCTCTTACGTTTTTGCTCTTAGGCATATTTAGTTAACTGTTTTGGGTTCAGTCTCCGAATCGGGTTTCGACTCGAGCTCATTCGACCCTCAAGTTTTGAAATTTAAAGTTGGCCCTTAGGCTCTTACGTGTTGGGTCGGTACGACCTTTTGTATGGGCTGGCGATAATAGCTCTTACGCCTTGGGTCGATGCGACCTTTTATGTGTGGGCTGGCGATAATGGCTCTTACGCCTTGGGATGATGCGACCTTTTATGTATGGGCTGGCGACAATGGCTCTTACGCCTTGGGTCGATGCGACCTTTTATGTAGGCTTTATTTTTCCCTCGATAAGGATTTTTTTTGAAAGTGTTTGCCTGACTCTTCGATGGTTTAATAAAAAACCTCGATTGCGAGTCGTTATATGGCGATGATCGAGCACCTCAGGAGGTTTGGCTCGGAGGCTGAGTATCTCGAAGCCAGTGTTTAGGACCTGACATGGTCGAAGCTCTTTTGCCTATGTCGAGTGTAGCCTGTTTAACCGGTTCTTTTCGAAGTAGATTCGAAGTAATTGAAGGCCTGTGATTTTGTAGCGACGGTCGGGCGTCCCCGAGTTGCGTTAGTTTGGCTGGTACAGCCTTGTGACCGTAGTCATGTGTGCTTGGACGGAGCCATTTTTAGTCCCGAGTGAAGTAGCTTCGGCGTCTATATCGAGGGTATGCCTTTTAGGGATATTACAAGTTCGATATATAGCCTTAACTTTGAGATCGGGTTTATGCCTTTAGTAAGGTCTTACAAGTTTTACATGCCTTTGAGGTCTTACAGTTTTGGATACTTGGTACAAGTATAGTTCATGCTTGCTTGAGGTCTTACATATATTGTCACTTGGTACAAGTGTGGTTCATGCCTTGCTTGAGGTCTTACAGATATTGCCACTTGGTACAAGTGTGGTTCATGCTTGCTTGAGGTCTTACAGATATTATTGTTGCCTTATGTAGGTCTTACGAGACCGAGGCTGCCCATTTGGGGTCTTATGGCCTCGAATTTTTGATAAGCGGATGGAGATGGCGATTGATGGCAGTCCCCGAGTTATCGAGGATTTCTCGGCTCGGGAGCCATTACGATGGAGATGGCGATTGATGGCAGTCCCTGA